TATTATAGTTTCATCCATAACATATTCATTTAATTGTGTCAATCGTCAATTAAATATTAATAAATATATGTACAAGACAGAAAGGTTTTCTCTGTTTTGTGGTAAGTTTTATGCATATAAATTCACTGAACATAAAAATAGTATTAATTTTTCAATATCATCTAACAGCTTTGCGAGATATTTTGTGAATACCTACAAAGAGTTATTTGAAACCATAGCGAAAACTTTGACGTTTTTAATTACGGAGATAGATTCTATACAAACACATTTCTTCAATTGTTTTTAGGAATATAATAAAAAATTATATTCATAGTTAGGTGAGAGAAAAAATAAATAATTAGGAAAATTGTAGGAAACAAAAGGAAATGATTCAGTTTTTATTTTGTTAAGTACTATAATATGGATATTATTATGTTAGTAAAGATAAAATAAAAGAACCAATTTTAGTTGATAGGTAGTTGGATGATCAGTCCATTTATTATTTAAAAATATTTTTCTGTTTGCGTTCTTATCAGAATCAAAAACTTTTATAATCCCGAAATTTTGACTGCAATAAATTGCAATACGTGTATTAAAATTATATTATTTTAATTTTTCAAGATTTTTAAATTTTAATGTCCACTTTTTTTGTTCAATATTTCTTTGCAAATTCATAATAGTAGTGAATTAAAAAACATTAAATTACTGAAAAATGAATGAATTGAAAGATCTCTTTTTTTTTTATCAAATTTGAAATGAATAATTGGATAATGCACTTAGCATTATCCAATTTTCGAAATACTTAGTGGCGTCGAAATTTGTTTATTATTTTTAATTCAACAACTTTTATTTCGAAATTGAAGCGTTTGAGGGCAACTGATCATAGGAACTTATTTTATAAAATTTGGCAGAGTATTTCATTAACACCCCGTCTAGGTTAGAGCAAAATAAATACTTCTTTTTATACATTTGTGCAACAGGCTATCGTGACAAAAGAAGTATTAAAATAGGCATATAAATATAAATGGACTGATTACCATATCGTTTTGTTTTCTTTTCTCCCTTATATTGCGTGCCGTTACCTGTTAGATTTACAATAAGGTTAAGTATTTAAAGGCTCCAATAACAATATGTATTACCAAATAAAATAAACATTGGATGAAGTAAAACCAAACTCAAGTTATCCTTGCTTGGTTGTATCAGCTGGGAAAATATATAAAGGAATGTACTCCAATGAAAAATTCCTAATTGCGTTTTATAAATCACTGAATATTCCATATTTTTCTAATGAAACCCTGGAGATATACCTTATATAAAATGAGAATTACACATTTTCCAGGTATACGCATTTCATACATTATCAACTTACTATCAGAAAGTGACATTTCGATACCACTTTGTAAATTTAATTTTACAAAATGGAAATTTATTTCAGAAAACATCATTTGTACTTGTTAATATAATTTTTAATGTTTTTTGAAGTAGTTTTAAAGAATTCTTAAATATATTCGATAATTCCTAAATTATATACAGAAAAAAAATTGCCTTTAAAAAATACCAACAAAATTCATGAATACAGTTGATATCAAACTATTGAACATTAATAATTAATAACCGTCTAAAATATAAATTATATAATAGAAATATAAATTATATTTTATTAAATTTGATCTAGTAGAATCAGGTAGAATTTACACATAAAAAAATTTGCTAATCTGAGATTAAATTAATCTTTCTAAAATAAAATTAACACTGTAATATATCTGGAAAACTTCTAGTAATGTACTGATTGAGTCAGATTCAATGTTGGACTCGGGATAATGTGATAGCATTTTTGAAACTGTACTATTTTTTATATCTCCTTAACTAATTCACAAATAAACGTTTAATCGTTCTTCTCTCGCTAATATAATTTTCAAAAAAGATTTAAACAAGAATTAGTTTCACATGTTCCATCAAAACTTCGCTGCAATGAATAATGGAAGTATCGAATTTGCTGTGAATTGACTTTAATTAATGCAGGGCCGTACTACGTTTTTTTATAAATCATTTAAAGCAGTTGCCCATACTCAGACACTATTCACGAAAATACAACTGTAACATAAAGATGGTGACAAAACTGAAGGTTGCATTCTAGATGATGAAAAGACATTTTAATTTCATTTGCCAATGTTCCTTAATTTTCGAGGTTTTTTTTTGTTTTGCACATACTCGGAGCAATATAAAACGAAAATTTTGCATTTGATTTTAAGGAAAAAATCCTTATTTGAAATCGACAATTCAAGGGTATAGTCAAGTTTCTGCCCCACTCTTCAAATTTTTTGTGATTGCCACATAATATTCTTAAAAGATCTCTTGGTGTTCCAAAGTTAAATTATTACTCTCTCACATTTACAGAAGCCACATAATATTGAATTTATTTAATATTTTCTACTGCATTATTTTGAATATCAGAATAATTGGTGCCCACGTTTGCGTCTATATCACAGTTTTAAGATGTGTGAGAAATTGTTTAGCTTGCGCACAGCAAGTGGTGAGAAAAAGTGTATGTTGGGTAGTGGGAATAGAAAAAAAATATTTTTGTCCAATGCTCTAGCCAGAGTAAGGCAGATTCAAGTGTTTGAGCATCAGTGCACTTCATTTGTTATCTTCTATATTTGACATTTAGCTTGACATTTTAAAATTACTGAATTGAATTTAATTTGGTTAATTACCTAGTTGATGTTTGACTATTTTTATTCTCAATTAATTACACAGCCACACAAAAAAAAGTTCTGTAGTTTTCTTCCGACATAATTATGTTATCTGTAGTATTTTTGCCTCCTATCACGAATCCGGTGTCAGAATTGAGCTATCACATCACAGGAATTTCCTAACCTCAAAAAAACCGGTCAAAAATAGAAAAAAGTGCTAGTAAAAGTACAAAAATTTTTTTTTCTATATTAAAATATTTATTTATATGATTAATACCCCGCCGAACGTGAATCCGCGGTCAGAATTGATGGTTTTTTTCCTAGCTTAAAAAAAAACATGTCAATTAAGGTCAGATATTACGAATTTTCAAAAAATAACAGATTCGCGCCAAATTTGGGCTATGGGGGTTTTCGGGGTCGCTGATCACGAATTCGATGTCACTTTTGCAAAATTCAAGATGACGAATCCAAGATGGCAGACCAAATTTTAAAAAAATTACAAATTTTGTACGTTTCCTAGCACTTTTTCTTGAATTTTTGCTATTTTTGGCCTGTTTTTTGAGGTTCGAAAATTCCAATGATGTGATAGCTCAATTCTGACTTCTGACACAGGATAGGTGATCAGGAGATAAAAATACTACAGATAACATATTATATCGCATGAAAAGTACAAACAACCTTTTTTTTTGTGTGGCTGTGTTATTAAGAGAAGACGTACCCTAACTATGGACACATAGATAAGTGATGAGTGTGAAATAAAATTTCATTTTATCAAATATTATAAGTTGTCCATTGGCGCACATAAAAAATAGGGAGGGGGTGGTTAGAAACTTGACTGTACCCCTGGATTAATGGTTTAAAAATAGATATCCTTCTTAAAATCAAATGTAAAATACGCGCTGCTCTGGTGAACAAAACAACGGAACATAATGTCACAGAATTTGAAAAACTTTGGAAAAAAATTACTTTGATGGATGATATCTCCAAAACTAAGCAACGTTGCATATAAGTAAATGGGTTTGAATGACATAATTGGTCTCTAGAATGCACGCTCGAGTTTTGTTTCCCACTTTCTATGTCATATGTTGCATAAAAGAANAAGGCAGATTCAAGTGTTTGAGCATCAGTGCACTTCATTTGTTATCTTCTATATTTGACATTTAGCTTGACATTTTAAAATTACTGAATTGAATTCAATTTGGTTAATTAGTTGACGTTTGATTATTTTTATTCTCGATTAATTATTAAGAGAAGACGTACCATAACTATGGACACATAGATAAGTAATGATTGCGATATAAAATTTCATTTTGTCAAATCTTATAAGTTGTCCATTGGTGGGGAGGGGGTGGTTAGAAACTTGACTGCACCCCTGAATAGGCATGATGACAGTAACCAAGAATCAGTGAAATTATGTATTTATCTAATGAAATATGGTTTATAAAAAACGTATTTATTTTTATATTATGAGCGAGATGATAATATTTTTGATAAAATAAAACTACAAAATACAGCAAACCGCCCGAATTCAGTCATATCTATGAAATGTCAATTTGTTTTATTTGTACTTTGACAATATCCGCACTATTTATCTTCGTTTAAATAGGTATTTTGTGTTTCCTAACTATCAGTTGCTTAGTTTTGTGTTACCAACACCATAATTTGACAGACTATTTGTCTGTTTGGAATGAATAAGTAAATAAAATAAATAATCAGGAAACGTCAGGTATTTCAAAAGTTTCTAGAAGAAGGAAAGAGAGGAAAGCTCAACAACTGCGAGAATAAAATATCAAAAAGACTACGTTTGTTATAAAAAGTTTATCCATGCATAAATTGGTGCTGAAATACAAAGAACAGTCCTGCTATACATTTTTAAAAAAACCTCGTATTGACTAATGAAGATGACGACATGAAAGTTGAAGAAGAGACGAAGAAGACTTTTAAAAATTATGTGGAAAAAGGAAAACCGACCCAGAAGTTTTACGTGCAGATGCAGCTACAAATGTATTTAACAGGACTTCAAAAGGGCTATTTCGGAGTAGCTATTGCAACTACAGTGCAAACCGAAAAGTAGAAATAATTAATGTTACATTCGATGACAACTATGTATCAGATTTTCTAAATGTTTTAGTCTCTTTATTACACCAAAGTACAATTTGAGGGTAAATGAGATGCATATACTATTATGGTAACTTTGTATTTTTATTTAACTAATGAATCTTGCAATACAAAGTATGTTTATTGTTGACAAACATAGATGTGACGTCACGCATACGCCATGACACCGGCAACCGTTGTTGCGTGAGTTTAGACTTAAAATTAAAATGTCAATATTTTTCTACTAAACCTTTTATTTTCTACAGAAATAAGATATTTTTGGGAAATATGAAATACTTCTGAACATCGTAGAACAGTTTTTCAAAATCTGTCATCATACCTATAAATGGTTTAAAACTAGATTTGCTTCTTAAAATCAAATGTAAAGTACGCGCTGCTCTGAATATGTGTAAAATGTGAATAAAACAACGGTACATAATGTCACAGAATTTGAAAAATTTTGGAAAAAAATTACTTTGATGGCTGATATCTCTAAAACTAAGCAACTTTGCATATAAGTAAATGGGTTTGAATGACATAATTGGTCTCTAGAATGCACGCTCGAGTTTTGTTTCCCACTTTCTATGTCATATGTTGCATAAAAGAAGATAAATTTTTGAACCACCATTAAGTATCTAGAAGAGGGGGAATTTTTTGAAAAATGTTCAGTTAAACCTTACTTAAATTACTTTCAAGTCGTCATATATTCCCAGGTCCCTTGTTAATTATGACTCACCCAGTATATCACTTGTAGAATGCAAATTTTGTATTGTTCAACATGACATTCTGCGAAAATACTTTTTCTTACATTACCTTGATGTAATTGAAAGGTTTCGGGCAGTACAGAGGAGGTCCGTAAAATGTGTTAGTATTGTTAGATTACCCACAAATCATCTAACCAAAAATTATAAGTATAATGAAAGCTACAATGTATACAAATCCCGCGGGCTTAGAGATTTAGCCGAGGTTGCACTATAACACTTTTTTGGTCATTATTGCATACATATCACAAAAATGTGTCCGTTCCGTCTAATATTTACACGGTCAAAAATCGAAGACGTGTTGAGTCTTCATTCCGCATCGCGCGGATGCCTGGATGCCCCCCCGGGACATCTGGAGTTTCAATGTAACGAGTGCAGGCTGTGGAATGGGTGCGGTTCCCTGACATTAGGCGACCATTTATTAGCTGTAACAACAGAGGTCCATTAGTATTCTGCATACGCGGCGCTCTAGCGTATCATTTACCTTTGTAATACATCTCCTTGTGCATGGAGGGGCAGTTGTTGTTCTGGAACAAAGTAAGGCGTTAAGAAAACACACCGAGTCGCTGGGTTTGGGCTAGGAATTAGGCGAAACTGTTAGGGAACGTCTACGTATGGGGTAAATGGGCAGAACTCTAGGTTAGAACAAAAGGGAACACTAGCCCGTAAAATCTTTCATTTTACGTGCTGGTGCTTACCTTTTTGTGCAACAAATGGTTTTAGAATTTACTTTATGTAAGCTCACTTTAATATAGGGTGTTCTGCAAGCTCTATGACAAACTTTGACAGATGGTACACCCAAAAAAAATGTATTTGGGTCAAATGAGCAGATAGTTTTAAATTAAATTACTTGTCGTTAGTATTATTTTGTTACATTCAATTGTACGAGCTGTAATCTATAATTTTTCTTAAAATTTATATTATTTGTAAATATGTATACAGGGTGTATCTAAATAACACCGAAAAAATTCAAGGGGCGATTCTCCGATGAAAATTAATAGGAGTCTTTGGTATAAAATTTTTTGAAAAAACTCTTCCCTGAAAAGTTACGCCCCTCCTAAAATTACAAAAAAAAATTGTTTTTCTTTTTTATCTTCCACGTACATCAAGCTAAAGAAACCAAACTTGGTGAACATTATACGTCAATAAAACTACACTTTTTGAATTTTTTTCAACCCTGAACTATTTTTGTAAGGGGTTGAAATAATCAACCCCTATGACATTTTTTCTTATAATTTTTTTTTCGATAAAATTTTTTCCTTTTAAAAAATATGTCTAAAAAACCCCATTCATTTACTAACTTTTTGATCTCTTCAAGTTTCTTCGAAAAGTTAAGGATTTATGACAAAAAAAAATAAATGTATTGTAATGTATTTTTAAAAAGATGAGCTGTTTAACGCGAGTGTATTTTGCCGAAAGATCTAGTGGCCTGTTCTTTACAATGGAATCCGTAGAAACAAATGTCAATGTCATTTATTGTCATATTAAATAACATTTTATTAAAAAACACTCAACCAAATAGTTGACCTATGATTCTACTAGGCTAAGAAGTTTGGAACTTAGACTAAAAGTGAACAAATGATGAATAATGTTATAACAGTAACAAAAAATAAAAATCTGTCGGATATTGACAATACAATCTACAAAAAATGTTGAAAATGATTGCCTTCAGCTTCAATACAAGCATCTACTCTTGTTCTCATAGAATTGCGTATGCGTTCAAATATTCCTGGTGAATTTTTTATCGTTTCACACCCTGCTACAATGCGGTTTCGCAAATCATTGATATCTTCAACTGGCCTTGAGTAGATCAAAGATTTCAGATATCCCCATATGCAAAAATCCAAAGGATTAAGGTCAGGGGAGCGGGCTGGCCAATTTACATATCCTCCTCGACCTATCCATCGATTGGCATACACCTCATCCAAGTGACGTCTTGCACGTATACTAAAGTGGGCTGGTGCACCGTCGTGCATAAACCATAAACGTTGCCTAATTTGAATGGGAACTTCTTCAAGAATAATAGGTAATTCTTCGAGAAGATGACAATATGAGTCACCATCTAATCGTCGTGGAAGAAAATAGGGACCAATTAAATGATCGTCGATAATTCCGAGCCACACATTTAATGAAAATTGATACTGATGATTTCCTTCAAAAAAGTCATGAGGATTTTCCTCAGCCCAAATATGATTGTTACGAAAATTTCTAATACAGTCTCTTGAGAAATTCGCCTCGTCAGTAAATAAAATATTTCTTAAGAACTGCGGCGCTTGGCCGATCATATTAATAAGCCATTGACAAAAAACCACACGTGGTAAAAAATCTCGAATCAGTAACGACTGCACCCGTTGGAGATGATAGGGATATAACTGTTGTTCTTTTAAAATTCTAAAAACTACCGAATGGCTTACATTTAGGACACGAGCTATTTTCCTGGTACTAGTTTCTGGGGATTCCTCAATTAAATTAAGTACGGCTTCATCGACAGCTTCAGTTCTAACTTCTCGGCTACGGCCACAGTCATGACTTCTCTTTTCAAATTTTCCAAGTTCCCGCAAGCGTTGGTGAATATTTGTGAACGTAGTATGGTGGGGTAATCTACGCTCTGGGTACTGTTCAGCATAAAGTCTTTGCGCTTCCAATGCATTACCGTTAGCATACCCATATGTAAAATGCATATCTGCCATTTCTAAATTCGAATAGTTAACCATATTTTCGGTTTATTAACTAATATTTTCTACACAAAATCATGAAACTTGTGAAATAGTAAGAAACAGTAACAATAAATGACATTGACATTTGTTTCTACGGATTCCATTGTAAAGAACAGGCCACTAGATCTTTCGGCAAAATACACTCGCGTTAAACAGCTCATCTTTTTAAAAATACATTACAATACATTTATTTTTTTTTGTCATAAATCCTTAACTTTTCGAAGAAACTTGAAGAGATCAAAAAGTTAGTAAATGAATGGGGTTTTTTAGACATATTTTTTAAAAGGAAAAAATTTTATCGAAAAAAAAATTATAAGAAAAAATGTCATAGGGGTTGATTATTTCAACCCCTTACAAAAATAGTTCAGGGTTGAAAAAAATTCAAAAAGTGTAGTTTTATTGACAGATAATGTTCACCAAGTTTGGTTTCTTTAGCTTGATGTACGTGGAAGATAAAAAAGAAAAACAATTTTTTTTTGTAATTTTAGGAGGGGCGTAACTTTTCAGGGAAGGGTTTTTTCAAAAAATTTTATACCAAAGACCCCTATTAATTTTCATCGGAGAATCGCCCCTTGAATTTTTTCGGTGTTATTTAGATACACCCTGTATATAATTTAATTCAAAACTACCAGTTGCTTAAAATACAGGGTGGTCCGAATTTTATGCAGGAAAGTTCGAGGGTAGATAGATCTCTTTAAAATAGTAAGTGTTTGCCTTATAAACATAGGTCTGGAACGGCCTCGTTTTAGAGATACAGTGTGTTGAAATTGTTAAAAAATTTTGATTTTTTGCTTATATCTCCGGAATCTATTAACCGATTTCAATAAAATTTAGTACAGATAATGTATGATAGTAGGCCTTGTATTTCCTAAAATATGAGCTCTAAAGGTTCAATCCGTGGTGTACAACCGGATAGGGTCATCCCCTTTTTTATAAATAAAACCTACGCCACTGTATTTTTTACACGCTATTGTAAGGGATTTATATTCTATTGCACGAAATACGTAAAAAAGGTAACTTGAATTTTTTCCCTAAAGTTCGCCGTTCTCAAGTTATTTATACCAACACAATCCTCTTGTAGCAGACACTTCTAACCATAATATTATAAGAATATTTATGTTTATGCTTAAAAGTAAGTGCAATTTGTAAGCATATCAACAAAATTCTTTACACTTGTCGCTTTCATCTTTTTGGATTAAAACGATATTTGGAAAATCACAACGGAGTAATGAAAGGCACAGAAATGAAATTTTAAGTGTATTTGACGATGATCTTTGACTGAGTACACGAAGAACGTCTCGGCAACTTGAGGTGAGTAAATCGAAAATTTGAAAAGTTCTACATAAGGATGGCAGAAATCCGTACCATTTGTGCAAAATTTACTTCCGGGACCTGCAGAGAGACGCCCGAATTTTTATCAGTGGTTTTTAGAATTCTTACTAGAAATACTGTGGCCCGATGAGGGCCACAAGGTTCACAAGGCGAGGGGTAGTGAATTTTCACAATTTGCATATTTGGTCACAAGAAAATCCTCATGAAATTCGGACAAAATCTTCAACTCGAATTTTCTGTGAAAGTATGGCTCGGAATAATTCGCAATAAAGTATGTGGACCTTTCTTCTTGCCGCCCCATTTAAATTCCCAGCCACTTCTAAACTTTCTAGAAAACCATCTATTTGAATTATTAGAGGATGTTCCATTAAATATACGACAAAATACTGGATACAAATGGATGGTGCTCCTTGAGGAGAATAATACGAGAATGGCTTAATGAAAATTATATGGGGTGGTGGATAAGCAGAAGACCAAATGCCAATCTCAACAATAATGTTGGAGAGGGTACAGTGTCTCGGCCAGCCAGATCGCCAGATTTAAACCCCCTGGATTTCTATGTTTGGGGTTACCTATCTGAAAAGTAGAGTTTACTCCAATAGAGATACTAGACTACAACTACTGTAGCGAATAGAAGGCAGGTGTAATGAATTAAAAAAAAAAACACCACATGTTATTAGCTTCAATTAGTTCCATTAATAGAAGATGTCAGAAATGTATGGATGTGGGTGGTTCGCATTTTGAACAATTGCTGTAAATACGTAACGTTAATTTCTTTCTTGTTTAGTTGTTGTTGCTTGGTAAATGTATTTTTATTATTATTTTCATAAATTATTCTTATTTGTAAAGATTAGGCCTCCAGGGGAAACTAAAACACATCAGGAACACTACCTCACAGGTGATATGGAAAGAATTTTGTTGATGTGCTTACAAATTGCACATACTTTTAAGCATAAGTGCTACCACAAGGGGATTGTATTGGCATGAATAACTTGAAAATGGTGAATCTTAGAGAAAAAATTCAAGTTACCTTTTTTACGTAGTTAGTGCATTAGAATATAAATCCGTTACAATACCTTGTAAAAAATACAATGGCGTAGGTTTTTTTTATAAAAAGGGAGTGACCCCTGTCCAGTTGTACACCACTGGTTGAACCTTTATGGCTCATATTTTAGGGAATACAAGGTCTACTATCATATATTATATGTACCAAATTTTATTGAGATCGGTTAATAGATTCCGGAGATACAAATAAAAAATTAATTTTTTTCAACACCTTCAACACCCTGTATCTCTAAAACGAGGCCGTTCCAGACATATGTTTATAAGGCAAACTCCTATTATTTTAAAGAGATCTATTTGTTCTCGAAGTTTCCTGCATAAAATTCGGACCACCCTGTATATGTATACAGGGTGGTCCAGATTTTAATAGACAAACTTCGGGAAAGTACTAAACAACAAAAATTAACATCACTTTG